TCGGGGACATTCTGGAAGACCAGGGACATCCTGAACGATCCAGGACAGAGGCTGACCTGGAAATGGGCCCCAGCTTCCTGCAGAGCTACCGCCTGGAGAAAGGCGGGCATGACTCTGTGACCCCCACTACCTGCCTCTACGTGCCCTGCCTGCCACCTGCCCTGCCCGCCAAGACCCCGGGCCTCTATAGTTCTCTGGCCTGGACATCATACTCTGTACCCAGGTCAGCTCTGAAAAGGTCCTTGAACTGGGCCAGGAGTCCTGGCCTTGTCTGCAGGTTGGCTCATCTGGCTTGGGGGGTTCAAGCACACCCCTCACCTGGGCTAAGGTTTCCGGTTACAAAGGGCTGGGCGAATCCAAACCGGAAGTGTTTCTCCACCTGTTCTGGGGCAGGCCCGTCAGAAGAGGCTGGGTACACGCGGTGAGCTGCAGGCCGATGGCAGGGACAAGCGAGAGGAGAGGTGATGTCATGTGTGCTCCCCGCATTATCCTGCTTTTTCCCACGAGAATGTGCCCTCCGAGTGGGCCGCAGCCAGGCTCATCAGCACCTGCCACAGCAAACAGCAGACACTCAACGCCCAGTTGCGGAGTTAATCCCTGCATTATCCAATGGAAATATAATGCGAAACGCATATGTAATTCTACATTTTTAGTAGCCACTTTGTAAAAAGAAACAGATGACATTAATTTTATTAACATATTTCCTTTCACCCACCACATTTGAAATATTATCACTGTTTGGCATATACTTTAAAAAATATTAATGAGAGTGGTGGGGAGAGATACACCACAGAACTTACATGCATGTGTGCATGAACAATGGACATGGACAACAATGCTGGGGACAGGGCGGGGAGGGAGGGGGGAATCAGTGGGGAGAAAAGGAGAAACATCTGTAACAAAAATAAATTAATTAATTAATTAATTAATAAAAAAATAATTATGAGCCCTGGCTAGTTTGGCTCAGTTGTTGAGCATCGGCCTGCGGACCAGAGAGTCCCAGGTTCAGTGCCCCCTAGGGGCACATACCACACACACACAAAAATATGAGATAACTGACAATTTGAACACCAAAAAAAATACATTAATGAGATATTTTACATTCTTTTCTTCACTCTCTGGTGTGTAGCTTACAGTACTGTGCATGACGAGACATATTTCAAGTGCTCAGTAGTCTCATGTGGCATTCATACTGGCCAGTGCTAATCTAGACTTTTTTTTATATTAAGTTCTGGGCAATTTCTTCAGCCCGCCGGCAAGCTCAACATCAGGAGGCTGTGGGGGGATCACCAGGAAAGTCATGTGGGGAGGACTCCGCCCTTTCCAGTGCATTCCCACAACCGTTTCTTAAACACCGACTTGTTTTTGCTTGGTGTTCACAGAATGTAGATGCAGGCCCTGTTCTCTCTAAACCCTAAACCCACCTGCCCTGCCCAGCTCCAGACGTCCTCACCCAGCACTTACTATAGTGCTTAAGTGAGAGAAGCCTGGAAGAGTTTGGTGACAGCGGATGGGGTGCTCACACTGGTCACACAGGTTAGGGGGAATGGCGAGAAACGTCCTTTTCTGTGGTCCTTAATTATCAACCCACCTCATTCTCCCTTCCTAAAAACCAAACTCTACATTTAAAAATATGTATTTTAATCTACTCATCACCTTTTCTGTGTTACACCTGAGCATGCTGCTGTCCCACACACCACATACTCATTTAATCCTTCGGCGACTCTGACTCAGGACTTGCATCTAGTTTTCAAACAGGGAAAGTGAGGCTTGGAGAAGCGCTATGACTCTGTGGTGAGAGAACTTGGAGAACAAAATGTTGCCCTCAGTAAGGGTCCTCATGGGACCTGTGGAAAATGCCAGGCAATGAAATTGTGACTCCAGATCCTAGAAGCCTGCAGTTAGAGTGAAACATCCTGCTGCTATCTGAAACCCAGAACAAGTCCTGGGTACAAAATCGGGGTCAGCCCCAGGTTCGGACACATCAGCTGTGTGGTTGGGCAAGGCCATTCACAGTAGAAACAATAATTAGCATTTGTTGATCTTCTCCCATGTACCAGGCTCTGGCCCAGGCAATTGCTCATCGACTTCCTGGTCCTCACAACAAGATAGATAGTTCATTTTATAGACTAGGAATCGGGGCCTCAGATAAAGTAAGTTGCCTAAGGTCATATAGCCAATAAGCATGAGAGTCAGGATTAGGAAACATTATTAAATGTATTAATGTGTGTTTTACAATGTAATTTTAACCCTACCCTCCCCCACCCCATTGCATACTCAAAAAGAAATTTCAAAGCATTTCAGAACCATCGATGTATACCGTAAACAACTGTATATTAATGTTACAAATCTAAAAGGCTGTAAAGCATGGGCACATATGAATTGTTTTTAATGTGCTTTTTTAAGATATAATAATAAAGTTTTATTCATTTGCAATTGTTTTAGCTTGCCAAAACAATGATAACAACTGGGCTTTCAAAAGAGATGTACTTGCACTGTTCAGCACATGGAGCTGTTGTAGCCATTGAGAGAAGGAAAAGTAAGTGTCTTGGAAGTGTAAAAAGGTGAGAATGTCAGTTATTATGACATATTAAAGCAAACTGCAGTTGTATACTAATATGAAATGTGTATGAAGATAGATGTCCCAATCTTCATTAGTCTGCAACTTGAAGGGAAAAAAAAAGGTAAAATCTACTTAGAAAGAAATGGAGGAAAAGAGAAAGAAAAATAGAGAAATTAACCATCTTTCTTGAAAAAGAACAGAGAGAACAGAGGGAAGGAGGGAGAGAGATGAAGGAAGAAAAGAAGGAAGGTAGAGGGAGAGGAAAGAGAAAAGAAAGAAGGAAAAGGAAAGGAAAGAGCTATGAAAAATATAAAGACAAATTATTGGGGTCAGGCGGTTTTTTAAAGGAAAAAAAAAAAAAAAAAAAAACTGGCTGTGACCCGCTTAGCACTGAGGCTGGGTGCAGTTTTTGCGGCTGTTTAGAGAAAATCTAGCTCTCTCCCCACCATTAATCTTTCTAAAGAAAGACTTTGTTCTGCACCTGTATAAACAATTCAGATTTTTAAAACCTATATGCCTGCTCCTAATGTGTGAGGGTATGTATTTATACTGATAGCCTCGAGTCATCAATAGGCGATGCGAAAAGCTGGCTGAGATCTCCCAGTCACATCTTTTTGCTCCCCCTTCCCTCCTTTGGCTTCCCTCCTTCGCGGGCACCTAGAGTCAAGTTCAAGTTCAAGCGCTCTAGGAAAGAGTGCGCGCTGTCAAATCCTCTGCATTTTCTCAGCTCAGAGGAAACTGAAAGACAGAGTCCTTTTCACTCAACTGATGCCAGAAGGAGCCCCTCCCCTCTCCCCTAACTAAATGACTAAATATACTGGGAGAAAACCTCTCTAAAGCCGGGGGGCGGGAGGGGTTGTGTGAAACATCCCCCAGGAGAAAGTCACGGCCTGGGAGACGAAGGTGGAACGATGCCTGAGTGATGAAGTCAGCCCCAGCCACCTGTTGTGGCACTTCAGGCTCCGAGCCCGGCGCATTTGTTCTGCTGGAGGAGCCGGCGGAGCGAGGCTGGCCCCGCGGCTTCTGCCCGCTCTGTCCTGGGCTGACTGCACATCTGTCTCCTTGCTCTTCGCTCAGCTTGGGAGCTTCAGGCTTTAGCGGAAGGACAAGTAACCCCCTAAATTCGATGCGAAGGCTCAAGGAGTAAAACCATACCCCAACTTGATAGAGTTTTAATTATTTTGTTGTTTAGATTTTATTTTTAATTACTTAGTGGGCAGTCACATGGTGCCTAGCCCATTGACTGGCACCCAGCAGGCACTCAATAGCTCTCCATTGGTGTCCACCTTCAAAATGAAGTCCACATCTCCAGAGCACATAGTGCAAAGGCCCTTCGAGTTCGGAAATCATGAGACCACACGCAGTTTTGCTGTTTCCTTGCAAAGCAGGGGATGGGGGGGCAGGGTGTTTAATTTTGGGTTGGCATGGGACAAGATAATTCTGGGTGCTGCATTGTCTTTTTTTTTTTTTTTTTTTTACTTTGTGCTGACTGAGCATTCTGCATCCAGGAGCACACTCTTTAATACACAATCTAAAACAACAATCGATTCCCTAGACTACAATTTATCTTATGCATTGTTACTAACCAAAAAAAAAAAAAAATCACGCATGGAACTCTCAAGATTAGAAAATAGCAGATACAACATCCTGTGGTGTATGGCGGGGAGTGGAGCCAGGGATTCTAACCAGGGATTTTGAGGCCATTTCTACTCACCAGCCTGGTGATTTGGGGTCCTTTATTTAATATCCGTCTCTGCGCTTTAGCTTCAAGTTCTGCAAAGTGAAGATAGCAACATTTAAGTTACAGATGTTTGAAAAGGAAATGAACTAGTATAGATGAAAGTGCTTTGAAGATCATAAATCGATGTCAGAGGAAAAGGGGGAGAAATATGAGAGGTAATTTTCTGATTGTTCGGTGTTTTGCGTTTACTCTTTTGTCGGGCAAGGCTTGGATATACAATCATACAATATGAGTGATGAACTTGGAAAATAAGAGTTCTGCTTTTCAGACTGGGAAAGAAACAGAGGTCGCGATCTCGGGGTTTCAAAGTGTGTGATCATCGCTAAGATCAGTTGGGGTGGGAGTGGGGTGGGGACCATCAAGGTCCCCTCCCTCACTCGCCCAACACACACACTTATCTCACACTGACCATCTAAGGATTCCTCGGGCCCGGGGCCCAAATCTCGGATTAGCAGAGACTTCCCCTTCCCCGCCCCCACCAGTAGGTCCCCTGCGCACAGAAAATCGGTCCCCACCCCTTCCACGCCCCCACCCCACCTCTTGCCCCCCCCTTTCCAACTCTCACTCTCTCTCTCTTTCTCTGCCGGGGGTGGTTTGTTCGGAGCAGTACAGATAAATAGTCCTGTCAAGCGGCACCGCTCGCGGTTGTGCGGGCCGACTTCTTGGCCGCGCTCTCCAGAGTCAGAGGCAGGGCTCACTCTTGCGGCTCCGCGCTGCGGCACCCAGAACTCAGGTCCTCCTCGGAGCTCGGCCGGGACCCCGCCTCTGTAAAGGAGCGGAAGGCGGAGGCCTCGAGACTGGCCTGGGGAAAGAAGGCGGGCGCGCGTGGGCGTGGGGAGCGCAGCGATGTCCACCGGCTCGGTGAGCGACTCCGAGGACATGGAGTTGCGGGAGCTGCAGGGGGGCTACCCGGTCCCTGCCTCCAAGAGGCCTCCCCTCCGGGGCGCCGAGCGCAGCTACATCTCGCCCAGTGACAATTCGTCGGCGGAGGAGGAAGACCCAGACGGCGAGGAGGAGCAGTGCGCCTTGGGCGCAGCGGGCGGCGCGGGCGGCTGCAAGAGAAAGCGGCCCCGCGCAGCTGGGGGCGGCGGCGGCAAGAAGCCCCTCCCGCCCAAGGGCTCGGCGGCCGAGTGCAAGCAGTCGCAGCGAAACGCGGCCAACGCCCGAGAGCGCGCCCGGATGCGCGTGCTGAGCAAAGCCTTCTCCAGGCTGAAGACCAGCCTGCCCTGGGTGCCCCCCGACACCAAGCTTTCCAAGCTGGACACGCTCCGGCTGGCTTCCAGCTACATTGCGCACCTGCGGCAGCTACTGCAGGAGGACCGCTACGAGAACGGCTACGTGCACCCGGTGAACCTGGTAGGGGCGCCGCGCTCGAGGCCCGGGGCGCAGGGCAGTGAGATGCCCGGGGCGCTCCTGGGAGCCAGGCAGAGTCAGCCCGCTGGGAAGAACCCGAAGGAAGGGTTCTGGTGCGGGTGGTGAGGAAGGCAGTTTAGTTTCTCCCAAATCACGGGAGGGGCCAGCCATCTTCCTGGAGAAGAACCACCCACCCTCTGTGTTTGCATCATTCTGGCCATTGTACGTGGTGCTTGGTCCAGTGACTGCTATTGGCTAATATCCTACTTACGGGTGAATCGGGGTTCCTTTGCAGAGTAAATGGCAAGTCTCCCTCTTGCAACCTTTTCCAGCTAAGAGTCTGACGGGTCTGATTGAACGAGCCCTACTTTCTGAAAAGGAGGGAAAGTCGATCGCTATTAAAAAGCCTTTGGATTTTTAAAAATATTTGCAGAATAGCAGAGGGTTCCCCCAAAGGGATCTGTCTGGAAAGTCCCTCTCTGACCTGCCAACTCTTCCGGCTTAAGAGCAGAGGGGTGTGTGTGTGTGTGTGTGTGTGTGTGTGTGTGTGTGTGTTGGGGGGAAGAGAATTATACGACAAAATCCCCAACTCTTTCAAGTTTCACCGAATGATGGTGAGGACACAGTCCAGAGGAAGCATGGATGGACCCCCGTTACGTCTCACGCAATCAAAATCCAGTAGGATTTAAATTCTAATTTAGAAAGAAGACAGGCAAATTTCCGGAACACGGAAAGAGTCTGAGCTACTCAGAACCAGGAGTATCACAGGGTCCACTTAGTTGAGCGGTTTCGGTTTGAGATAATCGTTTCTACTCTTATATCTGACGCTTTTTTTAAATTTTACAGACGTGGCCGTTTGTGGTCTCGGGGCGACCCGACTCTGACACCAAAGAAGTTTCCGCTGCCGGCAGACTCTGTGGGACCACCGCTTAGATCGAACCTGAACTCACTCGATGGACTGCTGGTTGAGCGCCTGTGTTTGGGGGCCACGGAGAAATGGGAGACTGAGTGAGAACCCCTGGAAAATGGGAAGCAAGTTCCATTGGATTCTCCTAGACACCCCCACCCCGAACTTTAAACACGACAGGTGGCGGGAGTGGGGGCAAAGCCCGAGGGTCGGCGGCGTGGCTGTCGTCGCGGGGCGCCCCCGGCTACGGCCACCGCAGATCTGGGCGACCACACTTCGTCTCTTCAGCAAGAGAATGCTTTGGTGTCCGGAGCGGACCCAGATCCAATCCCGGGCTTTAGTAGTGGAGACTAACCTCCACGCTGCCTTCAGAGCCCCGAGCCGAACCGCCTCGGGTCAGTTTCCGAGCTGAGCCAAGATACAGATACATTACTCGTGATGACACGACCCTGCACAGCCAGGACCTTCAAGGCTAGGCGGGTTAGGACGCTCTCTCCGGGACAATCTGCTTCAAAGACAAGAGTCTTCACGTGAGACCCTCATCGGGCAGGTTTTGAAGTTGCAAAGAGAGGACAATGAATACCTGGGTGGGGTGTGCCAAAGGGCAGCGCCCTCCAAGGCGGACCTGGCGGGGCGGAGGCTCACTCCGCTGCTCCGGAATTGGGGGTGGCGCTCAAGCTGAGACAGCCCGAGTCGGGTTTGCCCTAAGCTCTCCCGGCCTTTCGGCCTCCTTGCTGCGGGCAGACCCCCCCTCCCCCACCTCGTCCTGCTGGCTGTAGCCCCATCCTAACCAGGCTTCGGCCTACCCGGTCCCCTCCTAGGGGTGAGTCACCCCGCCCCACCTCCCCAGGCTCCGTCTCATCCGGCTTCCCTCTACTCCCTCCTCCCACACCTCCTGGCAGAGCACCCTTCGACTCCCCAGACTGTCCCCACCTCCCCTCCACCCCATCCCCAGCTCCGCCAGTATTGGTCACTCCTCCTGCAACGCAGTCTCCCTCGCCCACGTTTTTCTTCCCTCAGGGCCACTGAGCCTGTTCGGAACCTAGTGACCCTGCTCAGGGGTAACAAACCACTGCTGGAGGCTGCACTGCCACAGTTAATTAGCAAATGTAAATAAATTTATTTTTTTATGAATAATAAAACGTATTGTGAAAAGTGAGTGCCCTGGGCTTGTTAGAATGTGGTCTTTGTTGCCCTGTACTGAGTCTGGTCTGGAAGTTAACTTAAAGATGCCCTCCCGGCTCTGGACCTGGTCCGCAGAGTGGTGGTGATCACGTTTCGTTCACTGCATTTCCCACTGTAACTCTTTGGTTTCTGATTCTGTTTCTTCTGGAGGTGAGGGTTGCTGGCAGGCAAGATTTGGAGGCTTATGAGGCCCTAAAAGTCTTCTGGGGCCATGGGCATGTTGAAAGGTATATGCTCTTTAAAATAATATGGATGCCCATCTCTCTTACACACACACACACTCACACACTCTCACACACTTTCTCCAGCCTGAAACACTCAAGAACCCCATAGAGCCCACACACACGGGAGTGTGTGTGTGTGTGTGTGGGGGGGGGGTTCTTAGTCTCTTAGTCTAATTGCAAACTAAAACTATAACACACGACACCAATTTGTATTCCAGTAGAATTTTCTTTTTTTAAAAAAAATAATGTTTATATAGCATTTTTCACGTACACTATCTCATTATCCTTGTTATTGCTTTCCATTTTCATTGCGATTTTTGCAGGAGGTGGTAACTTGGGAAACCCACCATACACTTTTAAAAAAAAATACTGGGCCTTTGAAAGCAACATTCTTTTTGTAGAACATTTAGAAAAGAGTGAAGGATAAAACTGTCTAAATAATTGCTCAGTTTGAGGAGGGTATCCTTTGTTTTATAAAATTGATATCAAATTTGAAGTCAGTTTTCTTGACCAGGCTGAAGTGTAGCAGGTGAGAGAGAGGTGACTTCCTGTCGTGAACTAAACTAATTCAGAACTCTGGGAAACAGCTTTCTGACACCATTTTCTTGGGCTTTTGTTTATACCCAGGAAGATAACAGCCCTCTCACTCCAGTTCTCATCCTCTAAAGCTGGGCTCGGGGTTTACATTCATCAGTTTCTGTGGCATCAGGGGCTGTCTGGAAAACAAAAACAAAACAACTCAGGAGTAGCTCATGACAGGAGACCCTAGCTTAGTCCAAGGCACTGTGGCCCTAAGTTCTGGGTGGCTCCCTTCTTGGCGGTGGGGTGTCTGCTGGAGGTGGAGGGGTGTCTCTTAGTCAAGGTCTTTTCCAAAGCTTCCAGCAAATGAGGTGCTGTCTGAGGCGGAGGCAGCACAGGGACATGGTAAGATGAGCCTGAATGTCTACAGAACCCAGCACGAAATCCAAGCTCTGCTGCCACACAGACTAGTGCCCACCGCGTGCAAACCCAGTTTCTGTTTCCTCATCTGACAATAGAGTGATAACAGTGCCCACCTGGGAAAGATGGTTGTCAGGGAAGAATGTGCTAACAATATTTAAGCCACCCTTCCAACACGCAGTAAGCAGCACCCTAAGTGCTGATGGCTGGAGGGAAAGGGGGGCATGCTTTGGCACAGGGGGACATTTCAAACAGGTAGGACATTTCAGGAATCCAGCCTCAGGTGGAGTCCTGCTTTGAGATGCCTGGATTACAGCTGTACCAGAGAAGTGTCTCACGGAGCAGAAACAGCAAAAGAACCGACGCGCTATATTTGTACTGAATACAGATAAGAACAAGAATTTGAATAGACAAGGAAATATTAAGGCAAATTCTCATAAATAAAATAAAATATTTAAAATATTTGTTCCTAGAAATATATTCTCTCAGTATACACTTCAGCGGTAAACTCTGATTTTCTGCACCCCCCCCACACACACATTAAGGTGGTACTTTTCACTGACTCATAAGTACAATGTTGTAACCTGTAAGCTCATTGTTATTGCTACTTTATAATCTTGTAATTTATGGAGAAGAAAAATCTTTCTCAAGAATTGTTTGCTTCACGTTTTCTGTAAAAAGTCCACAGCCAAGAATTATGTTTTTTTAAAAAACGAAGAAAGAGACCCACTTCTAGTAAGTCCCATTGACTAGTGTAAATTGCCAAAGCTTCTCTGCAGATGTTTCCGTTAGGAGAGGACTTAAGCACGTTGGACCAGTCTTTGTTTTTTTAAATTACAGGTTACAGTCAATATTATTTTGTGTAAGTTTCCGGTGTACAGCACAGTGGTTAGATAAGCACATACTTGACAAGTGCCCTCTCCCCGCTGTTATTTCCAGTACCCACCTGGCCCTGTACATAGTTGTTGCAATGTTATTGACTGTATTCCCTACGCTGTACTTTACATCCCTGTGGCTATTTTGTAACCACCAGTCAGTACTCCTTAGTCCCTTCACCTTTTTCACCCAGTCCCCTTAGATCAGTCTTTTCCTGCTCTACCATGACTATCCTGTGATCTGGGTGGTAGAAATGCACCCTAAAGCCTTCCTTACTTTTTTTCCTTCATCATTTTTCTTTAGGAATTAGGGTTAGAGAAATAGAAATTGGGGCTGGGGGACAGTGGGGTTAAGAGAAAAAGAGAAGTCAGCCTGTGTTTAGGTGTGTCTCAATTTGATTATACCGACATTAGGGAACAGTGGAGGGTGTGAGGAGTCTAAGAAATACAATGTAAAAAGTACTGAACAACAAATAAAATGAGTAAATTGAAAAATACTCCTCAGGGGGCTTTTTGAGGAACCAAAGCCTTATTATCGGTGATACTGACTCAGTAAAAAAAAACAAAACAAAAATCCCCTTTCACAGGCTCTTCCTCAGATGAATATTTGAAAAGAAATGCTTTCGGCACTGTAATTTTGAAACATTTGGGCGTTCCTCTTGGTGGTGGATGTTGAGTTGGTTTTGAGCATATTCTTCTGTTCTGGGCCTCACGTTACAACTCTCCTCTAGCTCTGGCTCTTTCAGGAGCCAGTGAGACCGGGGTCATTGCAATTTACAAAGCAATTTTATTTTACAGCCACAGTCCCTGTCCCCTCCCCCCCCCCCACCATGCCACATAATAAATGTTTCATACATTAAAAAAAAAAAAAGACACCTTCTCGCTATTAAAAAAAGATCTAAGTGGAACACGTCCTAAATGGTTTGGGCTAATGTTTGTTTTTTTGGGGGGGTGGGGTGGGGGGTGGGGAGATTAAAACAATAGCCAAGAAAGTCATTTTTGTAGTTTTTGGAAGGTCAACTAACAGGGGAATTCATGACTGACTTCTCACTGCTAATCTCCAGGAAAATTCACTAGGTGGTCTGCAGTGGCTCCCTGTGGACCTGAGCATCGGCTCCTCTCCTTTCCCTGACACTCTGTTCACCACCCACGGCCAGCCAGCCTGCCTCTCTGCACTCACCCCTCGCCCTTCTCGCCTTCTCTACCCTCTTCCGTCCTTTGTATTCTTCTTCTTCTCTCTCTCACAATGGTGAAAACTTGCTCCATCGAAATTCTTGGAATCCATGTCTCTAAGAAGGTTAGGAAGTGGTGAGAACCTGAAATCTACGTGTATTGTGTAAGCACAATTAGCTCTAAGATACTAGTTATCTTGAGTGATCTCAGCCCTTGTCTGTTCTACCATCACCTTGTGGTAGAGAGGGTCATGGAGCAATTACGAGCTTTGGGTTTGGTAAAAGTGCGCTATCTCTACTATTACCACTGGCGGTCGAAATGGGGAGGGGTGGAGAGCAAGGTGCCAGAGACTTATCTTTACTTTTCTTTCTTTTTTAAAAGAGTTTATATGTTATTTTTGGAACTTTTAAAAACTTATTTATTTATTTATTTTAAATTCTCACCCAAGGATACTTTTCCATTTATCTTCAGACAGAGTGGGAGGGGGAGAAAGAGACAGAGGGAGAGAGACATCTATGTGAGAGAGTCATCAATTGGATATCTCTTGCACGACCCTGATCAGAGCCAGGACTGAACTGCAACCGAGGTACGTGCCCTTGACGGGAATTGAACCCGTGACTCTTTGGTTTGCGACTGACGCTCTAAGATAGTTTTTAAAAGATTGCAAGCTGCCACATCAGACGTAGCTGGTTTCAGTCTAGTCCCCCCATTTCCTAACTCTGCATGTTCAGGGTCTAGCTCTCCTTTGTGAGACAAGAACACACATCCTACCTCACAGACTGTTTTGGAAATAGATTAAATGAGATACTTTTATTGGGCACTTTGGAAATGCTCCATAGATGCTAATTTTTAAAAACTGCGGCCTTAATGTTCTTCCCTTTCCTTTGGCAGTAGTTCAGGTGCCCTTCATCCTTACCTACATATCTGTCCCATGATCTCCCTTTGCCATTTCATGACCTTGCTCTGTAAGGCCACATCTAATTTTCCTATATTGATTTTTTTTTTTTGGTACATGCCCCTAGCGGGAACCGAACCCGGGGGTCTCTGGTCCACAGGCCGATGCTCCAACCGGCCAGGGCAACATATTGATTTTTTTAAAACCCAGGTGAAACTTTCATTTAGTTTCCTCTTAAAAAATGAAGATCATTAACCCTCAGCATCAAAAATTATCCATGGGATACAACACAGTCTCATTTAGGCGTGTAGAACAGACCCACGGATCTTGATGTCACAGGGCACAGACCATTCGTTGCTGTGATGTCCGGGTCCACAGTGCCGTCAGCCTTTCAGAATCCGCCCTCGCGGAGTCTTGGTGTGGC